AATTTCGCGGTCGACCACGAGCAATAGCAGAAACTAAATACGACTCTGGACAACAGACGATCGACCGTAGCGGTTGACCGCGAAACTCTCTAGACTGCATCTGATCGACCCCACGGTCGACCGCGAGCCATCAAAAACCAATCTAAGTCTCTGGACTCAAGGGCGGGCGACCGTGACGGTCGACCGTAAACTGATATTAGAAAATAACAGGTTTGAAACAGTTTTTTGATTTTAAAACCCTATTTAAAAATATCAAATAAATTCAGGTCGCCCGCGAGCCATCAAAAACCAATCTAAGTCTCTGGACTCAAGGGCGGTCGACCGTGACGGTCGACCGTAAACTGATATTAGAAAATAACAGGTTTGAAACAGTTTTTTGATTTTAAAACCCTATTTAAAAATATCAAATAAATTCAGAAAAATATAAAACTTTGAGAAATGATTGTAGACATGATAATAAACATGCTACAATAACTGGTTTAAAAAAAATCTCCTAAATGAAAAATATCATCATTTTGCAAAATAGTCCAAAACATGAAAATCTAAACATATGAGTTTTGACATTTTAGCTTAACCATGTTTTGAAACATTACAAAATGATTATATAGACTTAATAAAAGATATGTATGATTGTTATTAAGTCCATAAACCAAGAAAACAATATTTTTACAAAATTACATATTTTGCAAACATTTCAAAAGTAAATATGATTTTATTGAACTAAATAAAATTGATATTGATGAAATCATATATATGCATGTAAGTATGAAACAAAAATATATTTTTTAATTATATTCAATTGTTTCATATTAAAACTTGAAAACTATCAAACTAAAACATATATGTATATATAACTATATATATACAAAACTAAAACGTGTATGTGTGTATATGATTGAGCTTAAAGTACTAACACACATAATATAAAACCTAAAACTAAATTTACCCAAGCTTGATAGATCTTCGATGTAGCTCAACTTGGTATACTTACGGATGAAGCTAGAACTTGGATCTTTAATTTGAATTGCATAGGCTTCACTCCACAATTCCGCTAACCTCCATTTGATATGATCGTGAATGCTCGATTCCATCCATCCTCCAACATATTATTTGCCTAGAATAAATATGAAACACAAACACTAGACAAACAATATGAGATGTAAATTGTTTTGTAAATCATCATCAAAACAAGAAGGCCAACACACCTTGTGGAGCACTGCGAGCGGGAGCGTAACGGCTTAGCGGGCAACAGCAGCAGCAGCGAACAACAGCAGCGCCCAGCGCCCCGCGCACGCAGCAGCAACAGTGGCAGCGCATGCGAGGCAGCAGCAGCAGGCAGCGCGACGGACAGCAGCACGCGCGCGGGCTGAGCTGGCAGCGGCTAAATTGGGGTGGCTGTGAGTCGTGAGGCTAGGCGGCGGCTAGGGTTAGGGTTATGAGGAAGGTGGCGGCTAGGGTTTTGGCTCTGATACCATAATGAATTAAAAACCTAATTATTTATTGCTGAAATCTCTTGGGCTTATATAGGCCCTTACAAACACAACCTTACACATAACCCCCTACATATTACTAATATGTCAACAGAAACATTCTCATGTCAAATTTATCACAATTTGATAATTGTGATATATATTTGACTAATATTCAGAGTAGTTTACACGTTCATTATAGTTTGCGATCTGAATCAGGAGAGTTATGTTACCTTACATGTTTTATATCTAATACTGTTATAACAATGTCGCTTTAAATCCTCTAGAAGTTCTATTTATGTCATCTATTGTCTAGAAACATTTTTTCTTTCTTTTTATACATGACTTTGAAGATTATTCTGGAAATTTTAGATATACCTAATTACCTGTTTAGGATTATCAAAACTCTTACTATCAGTCTCTTTACTTAGTTACGAATTTAAATTGCCATCTAAAGTGAGCAATGGACTCTATCATTTCTATATTTTGGAGAAGATTTGTAAAATGCAGAGGTTCACCCTTACAATTAAACATAAACAAGCCTTGTCTATTCTACTTCTCCATATAGGAGTATAATAATATTAAAAAATGGGTCAATTTTAGAAAACCCCCTCAATTATAGGAGGTGTTGCGGAAAACTCCTCTCAACTATTTTAATTCGACTAAACCCCTCAAGTTTGGGGAATTGTAGATAACCCCCTGAACTTTTTTAATTCAAATTAAGCCCCCATGAATTTGGGTTGTCTCAAAAAAGTCCCTGATCTTTACATTTTTCCTCAAAAAATCCGCCAACATTGTTACCCAAAAATTTTAAATTACTAAAGTACCCTTCGTGGCAAAGCTCAATTCTACTTTCAGTAAAAAAAAACCCGACTGGTATATTTTGATATGAAGAAGAAGGGAGGGAAAAACATGAGGGAGGTTCTTTTAACCAAAATAATAAAAAAGAATAAAATGATAATTTTTTTTACGGATGAGGGTTATTTTGGTCTTGGTGTTCTACATTCATGTGCTTGTCACGTGCAACATTAATAAAAAAGGTTGTGAGTGGGTATCTACAACTACCCAAACTTGAGGGTGTTTAGTAGAATTAAAATAGTCGAGGGATTTTTCTACGACACCCCCATACGTTGAGGGGTGTTTGCTAAAATTAACCCCGAAAAAGGAACTTTTTCAATCCTTTAAAGTGTTGGAATTCTGTTTCATTTGTCTTTGGTTTGTTAAAAAATTATCTAAACATAGTCTTTTCAAAATTTAAGAGGTCTGGCAAAAATCTAGTTATATCTAGTGACGAGCAGATTCTAAATGCGAGACTCTCAATGTTTATAGAGTAAACATATCTCTTCTATCATTAATATAGAACACACGCTTTTGTGTGCGCGCCCACGCATGCTGTAGATTGTTTGAAATAGTAATTAAAATTATAATTAGAATTTCAGCTCCTTACAGAGTGGTGCACAGTGGGTGCTTGTGATCTAGTAATTGTGAGATATGACACATTTTGCTCATGCGTCTCTATTATGGATATTTGGTTTAGTTGTTTGTTTTTCCTAATATTGTTTATGGCATGGATTTACAAATTTATCTTAGATGCCTTTCAATGCAATGGGAAACTATGTACACTGTAAATGCTATCTCGAGCTTTGAATAACGCAGTTGATTAAATTGTCCAAAATTGATTTTCTTACATCTTTGCGCGAACATGAGTCATGCCTGCATTTTCATGTACAAGGGTTTGTATTACTATTAATAATGGATGTGACTACAAGTTTCTCTTCTATTTTATTTTATATATGGAATAATTAGCATTTTATAACATAGATATCGAAAGCATAACAACAATTAATTACCTCACAATGCAACATAAATGATGTTGATTGTCAGTTATTTCTTCCACTCACATCTGTGTCTCGTTGATCTTCTATGTTTTTGAAACTCAATGTCCTACTATAATCTTCTATGCAGGTGAGGAAATTCTCTTCATGGGTTCTCTTGCATTGATTTTCATCTCACCGTAGGGTTTTGGTGTAAAGACAACACTATAGCCTGAAGGTAGAATGATAAGTCTTTTGTCTGGAATTTTACCATTATTGGTAGGGTTCTGGTGTAAAGACAACACTATAGCCGGAAGGTAGAATGATAAATCTTTTGTCTGGAATTTTACCATTCTTGCTAAGTCTTGCTTCTAAGGGCTTGGTACAAGCTGAGGGTCTCTAAGAAAGATGGAAGACTGGGTTCAAGGGACTTAGAGGAAAAAGTGTTAATCAAAATCTCTCTATTTGCTTATTGATGGATCCCCTTTCTCTTCTATGTACCGGACAATTATATATTTCATGTATCGATCATGAACTGAGAGCATATTAAGGATTTTCATTTCCAAAATTTCTGACGAATCTACTACTTGTTTCATGTGCAAATGGAGGCAATAAACTCCTCTGGTGTTCAGCAAAAGAAGTGCTGCCAAGATTTTGTTACAAATCCATCACTGAAGCAATTCAGCTCCTCAGGTCAGGACACCGTGAAGGGCATGGAAGTTGCAATTCGTCACATACAGAGCCGAGCACTAGTTGTATCCTATGACGTAGAGCTATATATGATCAACTCGCAGTTCAGGATCCAGTCTATCTGAAATTTAAGAAGCTGTTGGCAGAGTTTATAAAGACAATGTTAATACTCCCGTGTGTGAAATGCTATAGAGAAAGAACTGATGTGAGGCATTTGATTAATGTCTAATCCATCGATCCAAAATGGTCCGATTGTATGACCTTGTAGGTTAATCATAACAAGGATACAATAGGAAGTTGGTTTTTTCAATCTCTCTGTTTATATAAGCCTCTTATCGTGCAGTGGTATAAAGATCTACATGCATATTGCAATATAGTCATACCAATAGGTTTGTTGCTCCACAAAGTATTTTGTTTATTGGAGCAGTGCTTGATGCTGATGTATTCAACTTTTCATAATTCTAAACACGTGAAAGATGGTCATATGGTCACTTGCCAATGATTTATACGCATTTTGCCATTGTTATGCTGACATATGATAAGGTATGTTACAATTCGAAACACATGAAAGATGGTGATATATGAATACTTGTGGATGATCCGTTTGTGTTATTGAGGAGATGGATAAGCACTACTGTGAACCCGAGTGATGTACTGGAATTTAAACTAATGTTCAGTACATAATATGTGATGTGCATTCGATATAGGATGTCATTTGAGCACCATTCTATGACTTCCAATGATGTAGCGAGCAAAAATTGCTGTATAATAGGAACTAAAAGCATAAATCAGGTGAATTCTATTTTCGAACTGAAAGCTGTTATTGTTTCTTTGTTGTACGTTTTTGTCATGTGTAGGATAACCGATACAATTGTTCAGTAAGTCGCCTCATGTTTTGAACCATCATCAATGAAACAATGTATGTGGGAGATTCTATTTTCTTTCTTTTTCTCACAGATACAAGTAGGTTGTTTCCCCTGGCAATGAGGAGGTCCAAAAACTTCTGATGATTAAATGTAGAGAGCTGTAAGAGAAAATACGACAATTACGATTTACAATCTTATGTTCATGATACAGCATCAAATGAGCAGAATGTAGAGAGCTGAAAGAGAAAATACAAAGATTACAATTTACAATCTTATGTTCCTGATGTAGCATCAAATGAGAGCTGTAAGAGAAAATATAAAGATTACAATTTACAATCTTATGTTCCTGATGTAGCATCAAATGAGCAGACATCTCAACTTGCATAAGCCTTTTTAGCCTTCACAAAATCATTTTTGTTTTTGTTTCACAGTGTTGATGGTAAGCTTCTCTCCCACACCTCACAATTGTTCATCGCCTGAGCTTAGATTCTCAGCCCAATAATCTCCCTCTTCAATGTCTCCTCCAAAAGAGAAAAAAAGTAAATTTTTAGTCATTTAATCCAACTTCAAGATCACAGAGCACAGAACCAAGCAGTATACAAAAATTATCTGCACTTACTCCTCCCTTATACATGAATCACAGTATGAAGCTTTATTATCAGAAACTACTATGTGTAACGTTTATTCGCTTCTCAGTGATAGCTACAGGAAGCAAATTTTCAAGAAAATCAAGTCCCTACTTCACTAAAAGTCTAGACTGGCCTCAGGGAAGAGAGGACCACATCTTGGAGAGAGCTATCCCTTTGCATAGCAGCTTTGAACTCATCGAAAGTGACTTTTCCGTCACTGTTGGCATCCATCTGATCAAATATCTCATCCAGTTTCCCGGGCTCTGTTATGTCTGCTGGGAGGCACTCCTCCGGCAATGCCTGCAGGTTTTGCAGGCCAAACATATTAACAACTACTTTTATAGGACTCATAATAAAATCAAATGTTGAGATTATGTGTGAGAAATACTCTAAGCATATCGGCGAGTTCCTCCTTACTGATACATCCGGATCTGTCAGCATCATACATCTGATAGAATCACATATTTAAGAACTAAAATCAGATCAACTGTTTTTATAGGACTTCAATCTTATCAGACCTACTTACATGTTCACTTTAAGGGATAGCATTTGAGGCATAAATTTTATAATTTGAGGGGAAAATGTGCAGAAAATACGCAAATCAAAAGTCACATGTTCATGACGAGATAAGAATAATAACAAATTCACTAATTATAAAGGAAACCAACCACAAATGAAGACCCATGCTGTCAAACAATAATCCATAGTGTTATATTAATGCTAGTGAATTTTATCATCTAGGCTAGAAAATGGTAATGAATGCCAATAATTCATGAACTCGTGAGTTATGTAAATGTGTTCTAAGTATACAATTTTCTGAGAACATCTGAAGTTCAATTTGGCCAAGGAAAAGTTATGACAAGTTTAAATTTTCAATAACTTGGCTGTTGCACACAAATCAACACAACAAAAACAACAAAATCAAAGCCTGTTTTCCCTGTAATATTCGGACATTCCACAAATGATTCAAAATATTATATAATTCAGGTTACCTGAAAACAAAGCTGGAGAGCTTCGTCACCTCGTGAGTTCCTGAGACTCGACAGCCCACAAAGGATCTCTCTCATGTCCACAGTTCCATCCCGGTTGTTGTCAAACAAGTCAAATACACGAGGAGCAAGAGGGATTAGTGAATCCATCTTAATTGCTCTCAAAACTTCCTCAAACTCCGAAAGGGTAGCATTGTCACCATTTGCACATCTGCACTGGGGAACTTCTACTTTTAGAATAGTATATGAGACCAATGATGATTTGATCCATAATTATAGATAAGGACCAAGATAGTAAAGGGTTTAATTGGGGATAGACCCCTGTAATGTCACCAAATTGCGGATAAACCCCTTGCAGTTCTATTTTTGTGGATAGACCCCCCCCCCCCCCCCCCAAAAAAAAAAAAAGAAAAAAAAAAAGAAAAAAAGTGCCCACAAAACAAGTGGCTTTTTTTACTCTTTACCCTCAGAAGGTATATTTGTAAAAAATCATTTTGTCTAACGATGAGGGTAAAAGAGTCAAAAAAAAGTTAAGTCAGGTGGTCCCCCCCCCCCCCAAAAAAAAAAAAAGAAAAAAAAAAAGAAAAAAAGTGCCCACAAAACAAGTGGCTTTTTTTACTCTTTACCCTCAGAAGGTATATTTGTAAAAAATCATTTTGTCTAACGATGAGGGTAAAAGAGTCAAAAAAAAGTTAAGTCAGGTGGTCTATCTGTAACAATAGAACTACAAGGCGTCTATCAGCAATTTGGTGATAGTACAGGGGGTCTATCCACAATTAACTCTACATTAAATGAGAACGTCAAAGGTCTCCCCTAGACGGAGGACAACATGCAATTTCTACTTTAAACAGCTCGTGTAAGATTTGGTAGAACAAAAGACAGTGGCAAGAAACATAATGGAATTTGTAACAACTGAGAGCAGCAGAAAAAGTTTTCTAAAATTAAAAAGAAAGTTAATTGGCCCAGAGAAAATACGAAGCAAAGGAATTATGATAACTAACTTTAATATTACCAATAACTTTCAGAAACATAATAACAACATATATTAACTTGAAAGGTGTTATGTATGTAAAACTAAGTCGTGGGTCAACAGGATTATGATAAATGAATTCAAACTCATTTTCAAAGAATTTGGGAACTGGATACTGTTGATAATGTAAATTATGGTAAAAAAATCAACGCAAACGTGCATGGTAAAAAAGTCAAGTCTCTTTACTGAACAACGACCAATAAAGATACACTAGAAGTATGCTTTATTCCACAATCATGCTGAGAACAGACTTAAGCTTGATTCTGAAGGACTCACATCCTCTTAAAGTGTACACGTAGGTTCTGAAGCTCCTCTGGGGTGAGATCATGAGTTCCTAGCAAGTTCCTTAACTTCTTTGTCCTCAAGAAAACCTTACTACTCCACACACTGGCTATTGCAGCAGCACGAAATTTTCTTCGAGCATTGAAACTTTGAAGTCTAGAAACAACCTCTGCATCCATGATATCATTCTTAGCACAATCTCCTATTACCCAAGGATGCTTCAGAAGCTGTTCACATATTAGAAGTAAAAGAATAAGCATACAACAAACTGATGAAGTTGAAGGTACAAATTTAATGATGTAGATAGAGTACAGGGTCATACTTCTTTTGCGGATGGCCTCTTATAGGGCTCGACTGAGAGAAGTCGAGAAATCAATTCCTTCGCTGATGAAGAAATTGTTTTCCAAGTCAAATTGTCAAAGCTGAAGTCACCCTGCATTTGAAAATATTTGGAAGATGCTAAACATGCTCAATACTTTTCTTTAATTCCTGATTTAGTGTTTGAACTTATCCACAGGAGCATGTATGAAGCTTGAAGAATAATAAGTGAAAAAATACAACTAAATGAAAAGTCATATCCAGACAGGAATTTTATATGCCATAACTTGGGTTCCCAAATTCTCATAATGCAAACAGTTAAACATCT